CTACAATTCCGTTAGCCAGAGATAACCATTACGTTATCTTTAGTTGCTTCTTCTATGGCTTTTCTCCATGTGACTTTTCATTTACATAAATGGACTCAGTTTTGCATTATTTAACCTGATATTAATAATATACATTTTTCTCACACCATTAAAATGTGATTCTCAATATAATTTTACACTTGCATTAATTTAACCTGTAGAAGTTCCAGAATTTTTTCAACATATTGCTGATGTTAGACTGTTAGAGTTTCCAGTCTCTATTAGTATTAATGATGCTACTATCAACATCTTTATGCACACATTTTGTCTGATTTTGTATTTATTAATAAAGAATCTTAAAGGTGAAATGGACTCAAATGGTAGGGAAATTTTGAAGGCTCTTAATCTATATTGCTAAATCACTTTCCAAAAAGTGTTGTGAAAATTTCTTTTTAAACTAGTTCTACTAGTTTTTTTCATATCACCCTCACTAGCATTATTACAATTAAATAAATTTGACTCAGTTGATTAAATGAAAATGGACATTCACAGCCCCTTGATGACTGATGAGACCTACTGTGGTTTCACATGTACCAGCAATGTTATCATGATTAAATTCTCATACTTTGATCATGTATTCATTTCTTGTTTTAATGCAAATATGAACAATCCTGCCTGACTGTGTTAAGCATGATAGCAGGTACAGAGTAAATGAAGATATCTCATTTAATGACCCCTACATTTAATGATATACAATTAATTTAATGACAGCAGTCAACTTGATCCATCCGAGAATCTTGAAGAATATTTAAAAAAAAAAAAAAAAAAAAAGAAAAGGGACATTGAATTACTGATTACTGAAATAAATGGTACCTCACTTATGTGCCAAAGCTCATGCAGTTTTCTCAGAGGAAAGACTTTAAATTCTTATTTCAAAGCACATTAATTCTGAACCTAGATAAAATCCTAACACATTTGATGATATGATTTTCAAATACACAGCAGATTAAAAACAGCAAAGTAGAAAGGAGCAGCAGACACATTAACAACAAATAATGGTCGATGAGAAAATGACAAAGAGAAGAGATAGAAATGTTTATAACACACACACACAAAACCCTGAAATTATGTTTTTTAAAATGGTGATGTTTTTAATAATAACAGTGTTTAAGTAAATTATAGCTCATCTATTCAAAGATTATTAAGAAGTCCTTATATTATTTTTACAAGAACTTTTAATGTCACAGAAAAAAATCGCTTTTCTACTAAGGGGGAAAGCTGGATATAACTTTGCAGATAGAATTTAATTACAAATATGGTTTTAAAAGTTGAAGAGATATCCTGGAAGTACTGTTCTTAGGAACAGTGAGATTATTTTCTTCTTTTTTTTCTGTATCTTGTAAATTTTCTAAAATGTATATGATGTATTACTTTAATAAAGAAAATGTTTATGTTACTTTTAGAATAATATTCTGGAAATTTTAGGAGTAGAAATTATTCTTTTGTATGTTACTGACAAATAGAATTATACAAGTATTTGTGCTTATAATGGTAGCACAGTTATTTTAAAAAAGTCAAATAGAGCCACGGGCTTTATTGCAGAAGACCTGGGAAAGTTATCTGTTGCTGAAGATTTTTATCTAAAGTAAAAATAAATATACAGTCTATGTAACCACATAAAAGTAAACAACAGAGATTCAAAACTCATAGTTAGGGGTGATTTTAAAAATCATTATTTAGGTATTGGTCTATTGAGGATGTCTCTTGAGTAATATTTAAATTATGTTTTATAAAATAATGATCATAGTGACTATGATGGCATTAGAAAGAAAATTCTTAAATTCAGTAAGTCAAACATCATCATATATTTAGAAAGAGTGCTCATGCTATATAAATATTGAAAACACTCTAGAAACCAAAATTACATTTCAAGTTGGTAGAACCCCAACAATTTTAATCAAAACATTTTTAAATTTTATATACACTCATCTTGCATATGACAGTGGCATGTTTATGTAAATTGTTTTTGTAGCATCTCTCAATTCGAACTTTTTTGTTTGTATTTGGTAGGAGTAACTTTCAACTACCTTTACTTAGAAGAATTTATAGTATTTTCCAGAAAATTATTAAATGTATGAGCTTTAATAATAGTCATTGGCAGACTTTCTAAACTAATAACATGAACAGTTAAACTACATTTCCTTCATGAAATTATAAATTACAATGGATATATATGTCAGTTTTTACATTATTGTCTCACAGACCCAAAGCTATCCCTTTTTTTTTTTTTTTTTTTTGAGATAGAGTCTCTGTGTCGCCCAGGCTGGAATGCAGTGGTGTAATCTCGGCTCACTGCAACCTCCACCTCCCGGGTTCAAGTGATTCTCCTGCCTCAGCCTCCCGAGTAGCTGGGATTACAGGCGCCGTCGCCAACACGCCCAGCTAATTTTTGTATTTTTTTGTTTGTTTTTTGAGACGGAGTCTTGCTCTGTCGCCCAGGCTGGAGTGCAGTGGCGCGATCTCGGCTCACAGAAAGCTCCGCCTCCCGGGTTCACGCCATTCTCCTGCCTCAGCCTCCGGAGTAGCTGGGACTACAAGCGCCCGCCACCTCGCCCGGCTAAATTTTTGTATTTTTAGTAGAGACGGGGTTTCACCAGGTCAGCCAGGTCTCGAACTCCTGACCTGAGGTGATCCACCCGCCTCGGCCTCCCAAAGTGCTGGGATTTCAGGCGTAGCTACTGCGCTCGGACAAAGCTACCCTTTTCTGTTCAGCCTCGCAATGCTGGGGCTGAGTTCTTGCAACCCAAGTTTCTGCTTTGCCAGCAGCCACCTGCTAGGCTCTGCCAGTAGGGGCCTCCAGAAAGAAGCTGCAAGGCCGGAACTGGGAGGAGAAACTCACTTCAGGTATGCTTGTAGTTCCTGTATCTCCTCTCCAGCTACCCTTCCTTGCTGTGGCAACAAGGGTTCATTCCAGTAGCAACTACTGAATTCAGTTTGCAGTTTTTCTAACGTTTGCAGAACCAGCTCCATTGTACCCTCCTCTTCAGAGACGGCAGCATTAGCTGGCCGGTGCCCCTTTGTAGAAATCTGGGTTATGGCTTCACAGGACTAGGGGTGTCACATTTAACATAAAATTATAGGAAACCCAATTTGAATCTCAGAAAAACAACCAATAAACATTTAGTAGAAGTATGTTCCTGATATTGCATATTTAACTGTGTTTACTGTATTTTATCAGCAGCCGTGTGCAGGGTCCCTTCTCTAAGCTTCTGTATTTTAATAATTCCAACCATTTCCCTTTACTCCCTAGCCCCTGAGTAGCTGTTTTCTGCTATTGCTATCTTTGTAATAACTTAGTGTCATCAACTTGATACCCACATTATTCTTTATATTCTGTCCTGTCTCCTGACAACGTTGATTGATACAGTAGAGTTTGTTAAAGCAGAGACTGGGATTGGCAAGGTAATTTTCCTACTAGTTAATATTCCTATGTATAAGTTAATAGGGATACTTATATGGTAACTCTGATAGAAAGTATCCAAACTTTGTTTACCCTGGGGGTAAATGAGTTCATATATATAATATTTGTAGTTCTATGTGGTTCAGAGACATAAGTCATAGTAAATTCTTGTGCATAGCCTATCTCCTTTATCAACATTTTAAGGAATTCAGGACTTACTATGTATACTGTGTGTGTGATTGTAAAATTGTGACAGGAGGACAAGAAGAAAAACAACTTACAGATTTAATGTGGTTGTAAAATACAACAATTTTAAATTTGTAAAATAGATTAATTTCTAGTCCACTTGCATCTGAGTTCTAGACTCTGGACACTAAATTCATTAGTTAGTAAAATACTCAGCACACCCGGTTGTATAGTCATCATCTCAGTGGCATTTACATGGTGTTTGCATTGCTCTTATCAAGTTTATCCAGGCTTCCTATTTACTCTTTACCCTGTTCCCACACTGTTCCAACCACTGCTATAGTGGCATCTTTGACTTTAGTGACCACCTACGTAACCTCACTTTTTCTTTTTCTTGCCTAGTATGAAAATATACCCAATACCATCTTCTTTATTGCTGACTGGGAATGTCCTCTCAAAGCTCCTAAAATTCTTGATGCTCTCCCTTTTTTTGCCTTTCTCTAGCTGGACTATTTTGATTATACCTTTCTGAACTGACTCTGGGTTTCTGGCTTGCCTCAGGCCACATTTCTGGCTTACAGTTTGACTTTCATTGTAATTCCCTATTTATGGCTATAGTTGGTTGTACAGTGATCACTTCAAACCCATCGCTTCCTGCCTGAAATCCTGTAATTGCTAGTGTTTGACATTCGAAACTCCTTATCCCTGATTTGCCTCAAACTTCTGGTTCTCCTGTGTGTCCTTTCATCTTACCTGGGGCCCTGGATTAACTCTGGCCTTGCTGCTTTCCAGGCCTGCTTAAATAAATGAGCAAGCTATTTCTAGCGAAATAAAATGAGCTGGAAAGAATAGGCAGAACTGGGAGAATTAGGTGACTGTTTCTCCGTGTCTGATTATCTGCGAGAGTGCAGGGAAGGATGTTGCAAAGCCTTGGGACTAAGCTTGCTGGCACTGGAGCATTTTCTTGACTCATCTCATGCACTGCTCATGAGAACCCCACAGGGTAGGCATCACCCTTTCACCATCCGGACATAAGAAAGAAGGATTAAAGCTTAGAAAGGTTAAGTAACTTGCTCAAAGGCACACAGTAGCTAAGGAGGGGAGCCAGGAATTAAATTCAGGCTGTTTCTGGTCCCATTTTTTTTTTAATCACTATGCTATATGTGCTTGATTTCATATAATTGAGCCCTCACAATCTGTCTAGTTCTGCAATTCAGTGAGGTCTGGGGTAGTAATGATTGGTTGCAAGTCCAAAAAGTTTCACTGGTCTCATGGCAGCAGAGCAAATGCTGTTATCTTCCTAGGCTCACAGCAGAAGCATTGCATTCTGATTGACCACACACTTCCCGCCAGCTGCATAAAATCACTATTCATGATTTAGATTGGAAAGCATACTGATGGCCAGCATTTTCTTCCTGTGTGTGATTGACTGGCAGCTGTGACTCGAAATGCACAGAACTATAGGCATGAGAATAATTTCAACAAGTATCCTTTAAAGCATTATATCTTTTTAAAACCATCTCAGCCATCTTTAAGTGTATGGTTCAGTAGTGTGAAGAATATTCACATCATAGTAAAACCCATCTCCAGAACTGTTTTGATTTTGTGAATCTGAAACTCTATACCCATTAAATCACAACTCTCCTTTTCCCCTCCCTACAACTCTTTTGTTTCTATGAATTTGACCACCTTATATACCTAAGAAAAATGGAATCTTACAGTAGTTATCTTCTTGTGACTGGCTTATTTCACTTTGCATAGTATCCTCAAGGTTCATCCATGCTGTAGCACATGACAGGGTTTTCTTTCTATAACTGAATAATATTTAATTGTACATATATACCACATTTGTATATCTATTCATTAATTGGTGGACAAGTAGTTTGATGCCACTTCTTGGCAATAGTGAATAGCACTGCTGTGAACATAGATATGCAGATATCTTATAGAAACCTTGCTTTCAATTCTTTGGAATTCATATCAAGAGCTGAGATTATCAGATCCTATGGTATATATTTTTTTAATTTTTTGAGGAAACTGCATACTGTTTCCTATTGTGGTAGCATTATTTTACATCCCACCAATAGTACACGGCAGTTCCAATTTCTCCACATTCTCACCAACACTTGCTATTATCTGTGAAACACTGTACCTTTTTCTTTTTTTAATGATGCACTATAATTTTTGTTTCAAAAAATATATGACTTAAGCTAATATTTTGTGAGCAAAATTGCAGGGCCAGTGTATTTAAATATTATCCAGGCTTCTAAGTGTGTTCACTTTCAGAAGCTAAATATTTTCCTGAACATTCCTTAAGTAAATGAGTAACTTGCTCTTTTGAACTTAAAACACATACTTATTTCTTCATTCCTGTGACTACCACTGTCTTACCCAGCATTGAAAGCTTCTTAAAATTAGTCAGAGGAAGACAAGTGGGAAGGTGTAGACTTCTCACTTCAATAGTCTGCTAAAGATGGAGAAAAAATATGGTGCTATTCAAAGACAGTCTATACTTAAAGATTTAGAGTTTTGGATGGAAATAACCCGGTGAAATAGCAAGAACGTTTGAAAGAGAACTTGACAAACCACTGCTGCAGAAAGCTGAATTCCAAGGAAGTATGCCCAATATCCATGAAGCTGAGAAGTAAGTTTCTGAAATCATGCCTTTCTATTTTTTTTTTTAATTTCTCATTTGCCTAAAAAATGTCAACCACTTGTTGAGGCAAGCAGAGTCTTGCTACTGGAACATATAAATTAACCAAATAAGAGTATTATGTAAATAACAGTACATTTGGATATTTGTTTAGTGGCCCTTTTATGGAGTATTAGAAATCACCAACTTTTGACTTTAAGAAAAGAATATTAATATGTGTGTTGTCAGTAATATTTTGATTCTGTGATATAAGTTTTTTTAAAAAAAAAAAACCTTTAAAACATTTGTCTTATTTCTATTAATGTCACTTGATTTTTCTGGTTTCCAATTCCCGCTTCATTCATAGAAGCTTCTAGAAGTAAATGTCTTTTTTCATTTTAAACACGAAAGCAGATGAATAAAATGAACTTCTAATACATTTAATATCACACTTACTGTGAGACAACCATATTGAGATTCTCAAAAAATTGCTTGTATGGAGAAAAGAAGATTATCATTTTCAGGGCCAGGCACGATGGCTCACACCTATAATCCCAGCACTTTGGAAGGCCAAGGCAGGCAGATCACCTGAGGTCAGGTGTTCAAGACCAGCCTGGCCAACATGGAGAAACCCTGCCTCTATTAAAAATACAAATATTAGCTGAATGGGGTGGCGGGTGCTTGTAATCCCAGCTACTAGGGACGCTGAGGCAGGAGAACCGCTTGAACCTGGGAGGTGGAGGTTGCAGTGAGCCAAGATCGTGCCACTGCACCGCAGCCTGGCAACAAAGCGAGACTCTGTCTTGGAAAAAAACTGAAAAAACAAAAACAAAAAGAAAATTATCATTTTCTATCCAGTGACTAGTAAATTTTCTAAAGCTATCAGATAATTTATAACAATAATGGATTTAAAAAAACCAACAAGACAGATTTTTTCTATTGACATATATATGACATATATATTCATATATGTATTCATATATATACGTATATATATATGTGAAGATAAATACTGATCAAAATCCAGGGCAGCTCACTTGGAGAGAAAAATTACAAAGACCTATTAGGTAAAACAAGATTATTTGAATTATAGGAGTAAGAGTTAAGAATAAACTAAAAACAGAGCACTTGTTCTTTCTAGCAGCTGAAAATAGCAAACCTGGGGACAACAAAGTTTTTCTTCCCATATTCCTTATGCTGGTTAGCTAGCATGATGACTAAAACAGAAATGTGCCTGCCATTGTAGAGCTTCCAATTATTTCTTTTTGGTGGTAGTATTCCACAATGGAGAGCATTAGATTAAAATAGGCAGTCTTTTACAACATTTTAATTTAGTCTTTGTTAATGTTAAAGAGACAAATTCCTTATTGAATTTCTGAGCAAAGCTTAATAATAATGAAGTTAGAGGAAAAACACCCACCACATTTTATAAAGTAGTGAAAAAATCTTATTAAGCAACAGAAGTGTTGTTTTTCCTGTTTTTAGAAAATAACCACTGAAGCTTATCACTTGAAAAGCAGACTTATTTTGCAAAGAACTTACTAATTTATAAAATAATGAGACTTTGGAGAAGCATCTTCCTTATCAATTGTCTTATACGTTTCAGGGACGTGATAGAACAAACCAGTGTCACAGTCTCTTGGCACCACTTTTAGGATATGAATACATTTGGCACCCTCCCCACGGTGTTCAGCCTTGGGGTTCTCACCCAAAACTGAAACAAAGTTCTATTTCCATAGCTTCTCCACTTCTATGACATAATGTAGTTATGCTATCTTAAACTTATTCCTATTAAGTTTGTAGTTGTTAGGAGGGTTTTTTTTTAAGACTAAAGTTATTTGTATCTAAATATATAACTTTCATAAACAGAGTATTAATTAGAAAGTATAGTTTTTCCTTAAGCTTTAAGGACAATTCATAAGTCTAAGTATTTTTATATAAAATATAGTCACTTGATTCCACTGACTCGTGACTTTAATGGATTAAGTTCCCCCAAAATTTACTCTCATTTACAAGCCTATTAAACTTCTTTAAATACTTCAAACTAGGTTTCAAATTTATATGACTTTTAAGAAACACTTTAAATGCCTGATGGGGCAAACTTAAAATGTAATAAGCCAGTGCTTGCTAAACACTTAAGCTCTGAAAAACTAATAAATCAAACCTATAAATGTAGTAAATTAGAGCCTTCTAAGCATTTCAAACATCTTAAAATCAGGACTGGAAGCAAGAGTTCCAGTAAAAGATGGTGGATTAAATGCAACCATTAAGGTCTGTTCCATTTTTATCCTCAACTAAAATGACAGTAAAGGGCTTTTCTAAGGAGACAGATGCCAAAAGGACCAAACCAGAAGAGGAGATAACAGCAATAAAATTTCGTAGGTTGAAGGCAGATAATTTAGCAGACCCAAGAAAGCTAACACTAACAGTGGGAATAACTGAGAAGCACCCAATTTACAGTGTGGAACTCCTGAAAGTAGGTGATGATGTTGAGTATTTTAAAAAGTAGGAATAAACATAAAACTAAAGTATCTTTTCAAAAAGCAGATTGACCTAGGAGAGAAGATTTAATGTTACTGACATGAAGAATTCTCTTAGGAACAGCTCAATCAGAGCATGCTACAGTCAAGACTGCAGTCACTTCCTCACTTCCAATCTGCTTTTTTAGTGTCTCATTCTTAAATGGGAAATGTATTGAGGTTCAACTCCTAATATGAGAACACTGACTAAACCAAGGATACAGAAAAGAAAAATTGGAAGGAACAGAAAATATCTGGGAAGAAAGAAAACCGTCTAAAGAGATTCTTAGCATTCTCAAAAGAATAAAATATATTGTATCCAGAAAACCAAAATAGCGTGATACAAAAAGGAATATTCAGGAAACAAAAATCTCTAGGAGGTTAAAAGTATAATTGCATAAATGAAAAACCCAGTAAAAGCTTTGAAAGAAATCTTCCTGAAAGTAGAAAAGGGATGAAAATAACAGAAAAAGTAGAGAAACCTGAGGGCCAGTCATGGAACTCCATCATCCAAACAGGATCTCCAGAAACAGATACCAGACTTAAAAAAAGAGAGGGGGGTTGGGAGGAGGGGGGTGAAAAGTCAAAGAAATAATGTGAGAAAATTTCCCAGAACTGCAGGACATGAGTTTCCAAATTGAAAGAGCCCAGTAGCAAGAACAATGAAAAAAAGTCTCCGAGTTAGGCATAGTATCATGAAATTTCAGAAAACTTGTTTCAAAGAAAAGATGCTTAAATCATCAGGGAGACATATTCATTCAATGGATCAAGAATCAGAATGACATGGGACTTCTGTAAAGCAATACTAGAAGCTGCAAAGTAATAGAGTATGCCTTTAAAATTTGAATGGTAAATTATTTCCTCTCAATAGTTTTACTATCATTATAAATCAACTATGAGTAGAATAAAGCCATTTTCATATAGGCACATTTAAAAAATTTCCCTCCCATTACAGTTTCTCAAGTGCTGCAGCAATATGAGAAAGAAAAAAAATGGAATCCAATAAATAAGAGATATCTGTAAGGAAGAAGTGAAGGGAATCCCACACAGGGTAATTCTAAGACAGCTATGCCACATGAAAACAGTCTAGGCTGATGGAGGTCAGAGAAAAGAATTCAGAGTGGTTGGCTCTGGGGAGTAGGAAAAAGGATGGGATTGGGGGGGATTGCTTTGTTTTACAAGTCAAGTAGAACTAGCTATTTGCTTCTTTAGTTTATGTGGAACTTTGATAAAAATTAAAACTAAACTTATAAAGAGACAAAACATAATTTAAATATCATGTCAATTAGAAAACCCACTGTCCCTCTATAAACCCAACTTGAATAATGGTTATGTCTTCATCATCTCTGCACTCTTATGGTATACTTTCCTGGGGTGAAAAGTTGCTTATTTGACTAAGGAGACTTTTATCATCATCTCCAGTCTACAACAGCAACTATGACCATAGGTTTGTGTTGTGGATGGCAATTCTAGAATAGGGCTTCTCAGAGATATATCTAGGAAAATTCTATCTAAACACAAGATAGCAATCCAAGTCCATTCTTTTAGTGGGACTTCTAAAGCCCACTCCTTTTCTTACACCCTACTGCATCCCATGTTATTTTATTCACTATTTTCCTGTTATCTCAGGCAACTTTAGTCTAAACTGACTTGCTAGGTTGTATATCCATTACCCAGATTGGATTTTATCTTTTCTACTTGATTCAATTCAGTACTCTTTTAATATTTTACATTATTTCATTATCCACCATTCTACATGCTATAGTAATTTAATTCAGTTCTTCGTGGAGCTTGTGTTACATATCAGCAGAAGGTAAAAACTATATAAATAAACATGAATGTAGGGAATGAGTAAATTGTGGAGTAAATTAGGTAATAGGTGCTATAAAGAAAATGCCAAGCCAGGTAAAGGAAGTCAGAAGTGCCAAAGAGCGGATGTGTCACAATCTTTAATGGTGGTAAGAGTAAGCCTCACTGAGAAGATGACAAAGATAAGTAAAAAATTGAAGGAGGTAAGGGAGTTAGTAATGCAGATACATGGAGAAATAGCATTCCAAGAAGCAGGAAAGTAAGGCCTTGAGACGGGAACTTGTTTTGCATATTTCAGAAATATCCAGGTACACAACAGGATAGAATGAACAACAGAAGAATATATGGGAGATGCCTTTGGAGAGATAATGGGGTCCAAATCATATGACATCTTAGAAACTTTTGACTCAGAATTAGAGTTTTTACTTTAATTCTGGGCTAGAGGTTTTACTCCCAGTGAAATGAGAAGTGATCAGTGATTTTGAGCAATGGTTTGACAAATCTGACTTACATTTTGAGAGACCTGTTCCAGCTAGAATGTGGAGAACAAACTGTTGGAATATCAAGATTGGAAGCAGACCAGTTAGGAAATTATAGCCATGATTCAGGTGAGAAATAGGGTAGTTGAGACCAAGATAGTAGTGATAGAGGTCGTGAGAAGTGGTCACATTCTGTATATACTTT